AGTAAAAATATCTCAACATTTCATGGTGAAAATTCGTCCATAAGCGTAACGTTCAGTATAGGAATTGACATTAGCGAATTTGGACCACATGGGTCTATTTTTTGTGTCCCATCTCATATGAGGCTTCTTGTATAAAATAAGTTTTTATGTGTGATATTTGATGAAAGAGATTAGTTCACAAGCTGTAATCTCTTTCTTTCGCCAATTCTTTCTTATTACTCGTATAGCAGACATTCCCTCAGTGGTTGGTAATATTACCTTTTTTACCTTTTCCTACAAGTTTTCTTTCTAAACATTACGTAACTCCCAAAACTAGTACCTTCTTGAAGGGTGAGTCAATTTTCTTTAACATTTATCGACCTTGGGTCACTCTTTTTCCTTCAGTAAGAGACCAGGGAGCGGCGCGACATAGAACAAAATCCGCACGATCCGCAATGCCATGATAAATCTGGGCCTCATGAAAACATTTGAAACGGGTTAGGCTTATAGGGTAAGCTTCAACGCCACCAAACCCCAAAGCTGCTTCCTAACGCACAGGAAAAGTGATGAACAACTCGCCAATGGCTTCGATTTTTAAAACAGTGACAAAAATCCTTTACTGCAGTCGATATCCGTACCATTCACGCCATCTATACCCGGCGAAAATTAGGCTCGCATGCGTGAGCGGGGAAATCCAAACTTTAATTGGATGCCTTCTACCGCGTACAGCGCAAGGCTTAAGTGCTCATGGGTCAAGAGTTCCGATGCAATGTGGACTATGTTGTGCTTATGTACAGGTACGTCCAGAGCAAGTGTTCTGCAGAGATGAAAGAAATTTTTCCGTCAAGACTACACGGCGTTCTCAGCGACCCCACCCGCTTCTTCTGAATTTGCCTGTATATCGCATAACACACTGCTGCGACTTGTCTTTTTTACGTCTACTGCCCGCCCTTAGAACAAAATACCAACAGTGGTCTTTCCCACCGTCCCTGATGCCTCCGTCGAATGCTCGCAAGCACTACAGCGTCCAGAAGGACATGAGGTAGATCCAATTATTATTCAGAATCACTTTCTGAATTGATCTAAGCTTGTCTGTCTGTCTGTCCATTTTCTTTTCTTTGGTTTAATCTACAGGCCTCAGTTGTTGAAATATTTCGATGAAACTCCGTAAACCGATATGTTTCTCCGTTGAGAACGGAACACACCCCATTTAAAGCCTTACTTGTAAATGTCGTTATATAAATAACTATATTAAACGAACCGGTATAGGGTGTTTAACGTCGCGACGCATACCACTGCAGTGTTTTCATTTGCTTTTTTTTTGGTTTTAGAGAAACTCCACTTCAATTTATGCATGATTTTTATTGTGCACAAGTTATTGACCCTTGAGATGAATGATATTTTCCTCATTCTGTTCGCTTACCCAGAAAAAAAAAAAAAAAGAAAAATATTGAAAAAGAATTCAAGTCAGGTTTCCTTCACACTCAAGAGATGTTAAGTTTAATTTATTTGTAGCGTATAAAGTCATGGAAATTTCTGGTTTTCCGGACATGTACAATATTAAGCACTTTGTCCTGATGATAGCATGAAAATAAATCTTGAATTTTCATTTAATTAAAAAGTTCTTATATGAAGCTCTTAAAAGCAAATAAAAAAAAAAAGTAGGAAGAAGAAGCAAACAGCACAAATTTCCAAGTTTGAAAAAGTTTTACATCATCATTTAAGAAAGTTTGAAATAAAAATCAAAAATCTTTGCAAAATTTTTACCAAAAGGGGTAATGAACAACTTTTATTAGATTTTATATATGCATAAAGTAATTTTATGAATAATTGTCTTAATTTATACCATGTGAAAGTGTTTTTTAACACATATTTCTTCAAATAGCTAATATAATTAAAGCAACAATTTATTCGATGATATGATGCTCTTTGGGGAATAATTACTAAAGCAATGCGGTCTACTCTATGTAAGAGCGAAAGTGTTTGAAGTGAAAATTTACTCATTTGTGATAACAAGTTTTCAAAAAAGTGTTTTGCATATTCATTTTTATATCCTACATCAAATTTGTGCACTTTTTACACAACAAAGGGGAAGCCTTAGGAAAGCCTCCATTGCGTGTTATACGGATCGGCACAGAATCACTTTCTTAACCGATCTAAACTTGTCTGTCCGTTTGTGTTTGTGTAAATGTATCGTTCTTGGTTAGTGTAGTGTTTTTACTTGTTGTCTTTGGAAAAAGGGATAAAAAGAGGACAAAATTTAGACTAAGAGTACACACTACCGACTGGAAAAACAAGGGGAAAGGAAATATAGAGTCTTTTCTCAATGTGAGTGAACATTTTTTTTTACGACTTTCGCTATACAAATTCATTACAGCGACTTAACTTACACTTAGCTTCATTTCCACCAGGAATTTTAAGTGATTGATAGAAATTGCTGAGCCATTTTCCGCAAAGGTCCTAGTTTTTCCAGCGGAACTCGCAAGATCTTAATTATATAAATGAAGCGTACATGTTACAATGTCGTTTAATAATACAGTTAACATATTGACTTTGATCTTGTTGGAACGTATGGCATGTCATGCAATATAGTAAGTGGCTTTGTTTAATAAATATCTTAAAAAAAAAAAAAAAAAAACGATTAAGAAAGATATATTGGGCGAGGCTGTATCTCGCATATCCCACTATTTGGCCCGGCATTGTTAGGATGAAAAGTAATCCTTCGTCTTTATTCTCTGCCGATTATTTCTGAACGCTTTAATCCAATTCCATTTGAATTGTTAGCATTGCTCGTTGAGAGTAGAGAGAGTGAAATTAATCGTTCGTCTTATATTGTTGAGAGTGACACTTTTTCTTTACTTATTCTAAACTTTGTACTTTCTTCTATCTATTAAGAGAAAATATAGGATCAAGTTTTTTTCTCACCTTTTTTAAGAATTGTTTGAATGTAACAATGGCTCAACCGTTAATCGCGGTCAAATGCCACAAAAATCGTTATGCAAAATATTATAAATAATGTTCAATTATTTATATCGTTGTATGATATTGTGGAGTAATTATTATCTGTTCCTCTATCTCTCTTTTTAATTACAAAATTTTCCCTATCACCTTTTCTATGTTCATCCATCAAAATGCATTATATGAAATAAAATAATACCTTAGGGTTTTATTTTGAAAGTTATCCGGCAAAGATATCTTCTCTGTTACTAACGCAACTACATACATGTATAGATGATAAGTGCATAGTTGTGACCAAGTTTTTGATTGATAACTAAATTGATTGGTTTTGATAAAAATAACTAAGTTACTTATCTATGTGCACACATTTATAGGTATATACTGAGTGACCAAACAAGGCACAGACGTCAGGAGATTAAGTAAACAATGCACACACTCATGCATGCATGTACAAATACATAAAAGTTCATCATATCCTCATTTAAAATTGCTATGCAAGGTATGCTATTCATAGTACATAGATCGGTGACCTAATGATAAAGATATCTTCATATTTGCTTACTAATAACACTTTATACGAAAAGTTAATTTTAGTAGTCATTTAATACAGTGCGAATTAAATTATAAATTATTAAGAATTTACTTTCTTCACTTTAGCTATACAAAAGTGACTTAGAGCCCAGGGTTTAACGCGAAAGTATAGGAATTGTCGTAGTTTTGAGCAATTGTTTAATAGAAAGCACTTTCATCGGGACGAATCGTGCATATACATCTCCTTAAGTAAGATCGCAAAAATTCTTGTTTTGCATACCCATAAGCGGAAAGCGAACACTTAAACATACCCGTCCATCTCAAATTCATATTGTCCTTATAGGAAAGATTGTAGTTGATATCTGCTCTACAAGGCCCTGATTTGAGATGAGCATGATCGTTTATGTAAACGAGATGCGTCCGTACACATCTACCAAAAACAAAAATTATAATTTATTACGTAAAATAGGTATCGATCCCGAATTAATCTTAAATCCACAGTCTCTGATAGTTAACGAAAATACGCGAAAACTGTAGAAACGCAAATATATACCAACTTTCACCGCAATTCCTCCGATCGCAAGTGCCTTAACAAAAAGTGACAAAAGCACAACTAATGCACAACTGATATAAACTAATCGGACTCTGATGTTGGCAGCAAAGATAAGACATAACTTAAAGGCCCCGCGATCGTGTCTTAGACGAGTGGATCGGGGGAACGTATGGGTTTGCGAATATAAGACATAACTTACATATATATTGGGGTCTCGATTGACACCATCGAATGAAACTATGGAGAAGAGAAAGAGAAAAGCAATAACGCAAAATATATGCAAGAAAAAATAAGAAAATTCATGCAAAATAACAATTACAATTTCTCAGTTACTTCTATACAAATATTATCGTCATTCAAAAATTTTCTTTGCATAAATATTATATTCTCTTTTTAAATAGCTTAGTATTCAAAAATTATTAGCATATTTTTCACAAGAAACAACGACAGGAAATCATTTATCAGATACACTTACCGGAAACATCGCAGGTGCTTAAATAAGCACATCACTCTTGAAAATTTATTTTCAATTAACCGAATTCAAATATTGTCCCCATTCTTTTACTACTCTAATTATTCACGCATCATTTAAGCATTATAATAACTGTTTTTATTACACATTTTTCACAGAAAAAGTTTTCTACGAGAAACACGCGCCAAGACTAACTGCTGCTACTTTCAAATCCGCCAATCATAAGTAATTGATATCGTAAACGGAATTGAATGCAATTTTAAGTATTTCCTCAGAGAATTAAATTTTATTAATGATTATTGTATGAACATTTAAAAAATATATTTTATAGCACATAATATTTTCAATGCTTGCTAGAAATAAAGACTTTTACCAACTCGCATATCTCTCATTCATAACTATAAACTGGCAATGCCGCTCGTTCCTCTTCATCGAACTAAACAAGTCTGTTTTTATTTTCTGTAAAATTGTAAATACGCGCTCAATTTTGTTATAATCGCATAAAAAACTTTTTAAAAAAAGTATATGGCTGAGGATATAATAATACCTGAACCCACGGAGGCTGAATCAGCTGCTATTAAATCCATTAAAGAAGAAGATGTGCATAAAATCTGCTCTGGCCAGGTACCTAAGATATTCTGAATCGAACGGCTGCCAAAAAGAACTAAGTGTGGATTCAATTTTAGGTGATTTTAACATTGGCTGTAGCAGTTAAAGAACTTGTGGAGAATGCATTAGATGCAGGGGCCAAAAACGTTGAAGTGAAGCTTAGAGATAAAGGCTTAGAAGCAGTCGAAGTTTGTGACGATGGTTGTGGAGTCCAGCCAAATGACTTGGGGAGCATGAGTAAATTGTATTAGATTGTCTAAAATAATTTACTTTTTAATAAGTTTTGTAATTAATTAGCCGCCAAATATCACACTTCGAAAATTCAAAAATTCCAAGATCTCCAATCTATAGAAACATTTGGTTTTAGGGGCGAAGCTTTGAGCTCTCTCTGTGCTCTCACGGAAATGTCTATAATAACACGCCATCGCGATTGCACTGAAGCAATTAAAATTGTCCTAGATCATAAAGGAAAAATAATATCTCGCTCTTGTCATACACGCGCTCCAGGAACAACGGTTCTGTTAACTAACCTCTTTGTTACTTTACCAGTACGCCGTAAAGACTTTGAACGCAATATTAAGAAGGAATTCGCCAAAATGTGCCAGATTTTGCAAGCATACTGTTTAGTATCCACAGGAATACGCATACGTTGTACGAATCAGGCGGCAAATGGTGCTTCTTCACTGATTATGATGACACAAGGTCGAGAAGACGTCTTAAGTAATATATATGCAATATTTGGGAAACCAAAATTAGGGGAAATTATAAAATTGGAATCTCCCTTAAAAGATAATAAGGGCGATATTCTAACCCAGGATGAATTAATTTCAGCATTGCAAGCAAATGCAGGCGATAACGCAAACATAACAAAAGAAGATATTTCTTCATTATATAGTAGGGAATTTGAATTAGAAGGTTATATATCTAGTTGTGCCCACGGTTCTGGGCGTTCATCGAAAGACCGACAATTTTTCTATGTCAACTCTCGTCCCTGCGATTTGAAGAATGTAAGTTTATTCGGAATAATTAAAAACAACTTTAATGTGCCCTTTTTCTTTCAGATATCCAAGGCTGTTAACGACTGTTATCACTCCTTCAATAATTCTCAATATCCCTTCGTTTATTTGAATATTATTACCAGCCGGCAAGAAGTTGATGTTAATCTAACCCCTGATAAACGCCAATTGATGCTTAGCAATGAGAAGCTTTTGTTATCTCTTGTGAGGAGATCTCTTCACCTCACTTTTGATCAGATACCTGCCACCTACAAACTTCAAAATACGACCATTTCAGATATGCAGTCTCAAGCAAATAATGCTGATCTGGAAAGTATTGATCTAATACCACTGAGTACGGCGGAAAAATTTCGCAATGTGCTTTCGCAATGGAAACGTACCGGGGATACGGCGGGCAAGGCTCCCAATGTTACCACAAAACGTAAATGTTTAGATGAAATCACAGCAAGGACTTTAAAGATGCAGAAGATACATCAATTTTTAAATACAGAAGATATTAAACCCACCGGAGAATATGATTACAAATCCGATCCAGAGACTGATGAAGAGGGCGATAAAACGATTCAATTTGATGAAATGCAATTAAAGCAAGAATCGAATGGTGAGAATGCATATATGTAGCAATGTCTATAACAAAGTTTTTACTTTACTTTTTGGAACTTTCTAGCTTTTGATGAACTTGTTCAAAGAACAGACTGTAAAATTCTTACTCCCAAAAGACCTGTTTGTAACTTTGTTGACCAAAAATCTTTAAGCAACTCCGACATAAGTCCTACTAACGACGTTGCTTCAAAGGATGATAATGCCGCCCGACCCGTAATTGAACTCGATGTTAGCGATTCGGAAACTAAAGAACGTTCTAACATTTCTAGTCAATTTTTCGTTACTCTTAAAGAAATCGAAGATAGCCTTAAGGCTGAGGACGCCCTAAAATCTGAGAGGGAAAGCAGAGCTAAATTAGAACGTCTACGCTTTAAAAGCGAAATAACGCCCAGTCAAAATAAAACTGCCGAAGATGAGCTGCAAAAAGAGATCTCGAAATCAAGCTTTGCGCGTATGGATGTGATTGGACAATTTAACTTGGGTTTTATTGTATGCAAATTAGATAGTGATTTATTCATAATCGATCAGCACGCTACAGATGAGAAATATAATTTTGAAATGTTACAACGCACGACGCACTTACAATTTCAAACCTTAGCCTTACCTCAAACGCTGGAACTAACCGCTGTCAATGAAATGACGCTCATAGAAAATTTACCGGTGTTCGAAAAGAATGGTTTTAAATTTAGCATCAATTCAAATGGTATATGCTAACAAGGTCTAACTCTCAGATCATGTTTAATGATCCCTTTTTGTGTAATTTTTCAGCGCCTCCAACCAAAAAGGTAAGCCTATTAGGCAAACCGTTTAGTAAGAACTGGGAGTTTGGTAAAGAGGATATAGATGAATTAATATTTATGTTACAAGATGCTCCCGAGGGTACTGTATGTCGTCCCTCGCGCATTAGTGCCATGTTCGCTTCAAGAGCTTGCCGCAAGTCCATTATGATAGGAACAGCATTAAAAAAGTCCACAATGAAACAACTCGTACAACATATGGGTGAAATGGAGCAGCCTTGGGTAAGCTTTAAATGAAACTACGTTCCAATTTTCATAACATACAGTTATTTTTTTGTAGAATTCACTTCTACTCTGCTTTTATAGCATAAGACATATAGGAAAAGAAATATAAACCATGTCAGTCTGTTTATATGTTAATATTCGGAAATACGACTTCAAAACTTTGTTCGAAAGCTTAAACTGATAAAGTGATTTTCCTTCTCTTGTGCTTTCCTTAGGAAATGTTTGAAAATCAACAGAATCGAGAAAAAGGCTAGAAATTAATCTGTTGTCATTGAGTTAATTTACATATAAAGAAAAGACAGAAGAAAAGAAGATTAGGCAAACTTAGGATCACAATAGACTTCAGCTTCAAGCAAATATTAGGTGTTTGCAAAAATTTTAATCACTTTTTCATTGGAAGATTGCTATAATATAGATTAAACAAAATGATTGCCATCATTTTCTACAACGTTTTACAATATTTTCGGCAACAGGGCTATATCATGCCGAAAAAACTTATATTGATTTGGCAGCAATCCATCCACCGACCCATTTTCGGACTTATTCAACTTCGCAGGCCCGACAAGCGTACCAGACAAGCAATGCTGTACCAATCTGAACAAGGGGTTAATTAGGGGACCCTATATCTGAGGAGTACTCTGGGTGTGGCGGAACTTCCTATTCGAGCTGCAACAGTGTAGCCAATTCACGTTGGCACTTTTAAACCGTTGACATTAAAACCGACGCTTGGAATATACGGGAATAGCATAACCGTAAGCCTGTGAATGTGTTTGGTCGATCCCGACAAAAGTAATGAATCTGCAGGATGAATTTTGGGAGTTTCATTGTTAGTGTCGAATAAATCAATAATATAAGGAAAATTGTTATTTTATGCACGAGAAGACCAAAACCATCGTTTTCAAATGTTGCGTACACTTGTCTTTCCCATTTCTGTATCATTTTTACCTGTAGAAGTCGCTGATCAAAACTTTTGCAAATGCCTTACAAACAAAATCGTAGCCAATTAATTTTCGGGCAGCGTTTACTTTATGTGGTGATTTTAAGCCGAAGTTTACGATTGGCATGTTATAGTTCGAAAGCTGCTTTTTGAACTTCACAAATCTAGGAATTATCTTCACGTTGTTGTATATGTTTTATGATACATACATATATTTCTTATTTCGACATTTATTCAGTAAACAACGTCTTTTTTTTTTTTCTTTTCTATAGAATTGTCCACACGGGCGGCCTACGATGCGGCATCTAATAAACACAGCAATGCTATTGGATACCGAAATCAATGAAGATAATTAAAATTTTTAAGCTTTAACTGTAAATTTCATTTTTTATTTTATTTTAATAATCATTTCATACGCTTATCGTTCGGAATATATTGAAACCACTGTGAGCTGTTGATAATATTACCCCTGGCAATTGAGGATGCCAATGCAATTCCTTAATCTCTTTCTGCCCCTGATGTATGAACAATAATTGCGGTGGTAGATTCTCTAAATCGTTATTATTTTGATTTTGTGCCGGCGTTGTTTCGTCATCTTTTTCCACAGCCAAATCCCAAAGAGCAATTTGATCATCATCACCGCCCGAAGCCAATACCGTACTATCTTTAGGATTCCATTCAACTGTAGTAATATGGTTGGTATGATGTTTAAAAGTAGCAACAGGTTTTTTGCTCTTAAATTGCCTTAAATCCCAAATATGGAGGAAGCCATCGTCGCCGCCACTAGCTATGAAAGGTTCTGAATTATTCCAGGAAATTACATTGATATCACTTTCATGGGCATTGTCGCAGGTCAGCATGCAAGCTTTTTGTGGCGCGGCACGGCAATCCCAAATACGTATAGATTTATCTACTGAACATGACGCTAAAACACTACGTTCGTTAGGGCTCCATTGTAAATCCTCAATAGAAGCGGTATGACCAATTAAGGGACGCTGATCCACTTTCCATGTGCCACCCTCTAAAGGTGACCAAATGTGTAAATCTCGTCTAAAAGGAAGCAAACAATTACTAAAGCACACAATGCCTAGCAATTGAAAAATGTTACCTGCAGTCACCAGTCGCTAGAACACCGTCAACGCAAGGGCTCCAATCTATAGCAAAACCTTCCTGCTGATGACCACTGAAGGAGAAAATCGGATGTACTGGGTCATTTGCAACATCGCGTTCGTATTGTTTCAAAAGTTGTATATCTTCAATTGCCTGCAATTGTTTTGATAAATTCCAAATATTAACACGACCTAATTCACTCCAACTAGCGGCATATATCGTATTCCCTAATCGGCGGGCTCTCACGCGATTCACGCAACCTTGATGCTTAATAAGAGCACATGACATCTGGGGTTTCTTCAGTTCTTCCTTATTCGTCAGATCGTCTTCATCGTCCTCCAATTCTTCGTCATCATTGTCTTCACCATTAGGTTTTTCTTGCGTTTTATGCAAGTTATGCATTTTCATTACAATTAAATTATTAACATGTGTCCGCGCAGCTTGTGTTCCAGCGACTATGTAGGCAGTTAAGGGATACCGTTCCCTTTCTTCTCCTAATTCATCAGATATAATATCGAAGCTAAGGCAAGGCGCGCCAGTAGACGCTTGATGTAACATTACATATGCGGATTCATCACAAACCAACTCTTCGTCGGCTTCCAAAGGTAATCCGGGAAGATAAACTTTTTGATCTTTGTCTTGATCTTGGTCTTCATGCGGGTCTTCTTCATCACTTTCAGCATCCTCCGGTTCAACAACTTCCATTTCTAGATCTTGATCCATTTTGCCTCCGCACAAGTTTTTTATATTTTATCTTTTCGGTTTATGTAGAAAAGTGAACAATCTACTGGGGGTTTCTTTAAATTTTGTAAATCAGCACGTGAATTCTTTTTTCTCTCTGACACAGAGTTATTGTTAGTTTAGAATAAATAATCGCACAGGGCTGTTACGACTGAGTACTAATTCACAATACAAGAATTAAAACGGAAAAGTGTATATCTAAAGGAAACAATAAAAACAATGGTACATGATTATTACAAAAGACATGATGATGAGCTCATAACTTTCCCTCTCTAGGAGAAACAAAGGAGTGCGGATGGTTTGCGGACATCCCTCTATATGCAAAAGTTGCAATAATGAAAAAACTAGGAAAAAAACGAAAATTACAATCGAAACCAAAATTATATTTAATAAGATGATGCAAGAACGAAACGGTACAATTTCCAGCTGTTTTTCGTGTACAAGAGTGAATGAAATGGATTGGTTTCAATTCACTTCAAGTTGTTTATTTTTTTTACTTATTTAGAATTGTTTTGAAGTAAGAACATCGTACGCATTCCCATTAATTTTAAAAATTACTATTTCTTTCGTTTAATTCTATGTGAATAGCCATTCAAATATTCACTTGGCAGATTATTTTGTTTTCGGTTTCTTGTACAAAATTTCTTAGAATAGTGTTTGCAAAAATTTCGAAATTCATTCGTGTAAACAATAAGGAATGTCAAAAAATAAACCCCATTTCAAAATAAAACTATTGGCCGGAAATAACGTGGTTTTAGTCGAAGCTCCTGGTTATGAATCTGAAATTTTCGTGCCCCAAACGCATAAAGGACGAATCGCTTTCGTTAATGTCATACCGAACCGGCGGTGCTCTCTTAAATCAGATAGAAGTTCGCCATCAAATGAGAATACATTTTGCGGGCAATCAGCAGCCCTAAATACGTTAACAAAAAGAGTTCTTGGCTGTGATTCAAATGGTCGCGTAATGCGTACTTATGGTGGGTACGATAAATATTCACCTTTTGGTAAAGGATCTCTAAAGGAACGGCAATACGGCGATAGTTCTTCAACAAAACACCAAACATCCAGCAATCTGCAAACACCGCAAAGTTTAAGATCATCTGCACCGGCAAAAAATTACAGCAGGGTCGATAGTAATTTATCACGCAATTGTCGTTTTTCGGCCCCATCTCCGCAAGTTAGTCCATTATTTTCAACGTTACAATCATCTGCAGGCGGAGATGCAACCTTGTGGTCCCGCACCAAAAGCAAAGCAAAAGACAAATTGGCTCGTAAATTAGCTTATAACGAAGAAACGATCACGCCTACAAAATGGCGCAAGTGCCTTACACCTATACGCACATATGGCCGCAGTAGTGTGGCGCTATGTAAGAAACGATCTCCTACAAAGATAGGGCGTTCAAAAGTTGAACCAACTCAGGGAAAGAAAGCTACTTGCTCTATAGATGTACGCAAGCGTAAATTACTTATAGATCCTAAAACTACTATATCACCTCAGTCTTTTAAATTACAACTACAAAAGCACGATCCTTCAGATGAAATCAAAGATGATATATATGCGACACCGCATTTCTGTTTATCAAAGGATCCAAAGACTGCCTTTGATTTGTTAACAAGCCCCGCGCGCCATGTATCTTCAAAACTGAAAAAACAGTTTCGCAACGCGTGCATAAACAAAGCCGCAGGCACCCAACGCAAATATAAAGAACTGTGCAATGTGCCGCCATTACAACCTTACGGGATTTCCGAGCTGACAACTTGCCAACGCGACGCCGGAACATCAGAAGGCCAAAAGAGAAAAAAAATAAGATCGATAAAAACATTGATGCAAGAAATGCAAAATTCCAACATTCGAACATGAAAAAGATAAAAGAAAGCAAATTCCTGCCTTCAATTTCGAACAAGTTTCAAAGAGACTACATACGTTTTGAAATTTTTTCGGTTGTCAGGCAAATTACCGGTGTAAAATAAATTTTTAGTGTGAACGCAAGTATGAAAGCCCTAATTAGAGAAACTGAAAATAACTCAAAGATAACTGACTTGTTTATATATGCGAAGCATGTAATTTTATTCACTGTCAATTCAATTTTCTAGAATATAAGATCTCTCCGCGATGATTACTTGCACTGAATTCAGTTATATTAAGTTTCTATAATTAGTGGTTAGATGCGAAAAATTTCCTTTGACGGTGTGCCTTTTTTGAGATAAGCGAAAAAAGTACATTATTTAGGAAAATTTTTCGCACTAACATGTATGTATATAAGATTATATTACTTAAAAATTAATCAGATATATATACATATATATTTATATTATTATTAAAATCTTAATTTCTAATTTCAAACTAAGCTAAAGAACACATAAGTCTTAAAAAATACATGAATAATTCAAAAAAATTGTTTAAATATCATCTGCATCGAAAGCAAGCTTTGAAAGCTCGTTTTATTGCACGCATATTATGAATGACTTGTTCCTGGTAAGAAAGGATCAAAATTAATTACGTTTGAAATCTAAAAATCAAGTAATACCAACCTGCATTAAATTAAAGCACATGGCTATCAAGGCCATCCCTAATAATAAATATACCGCACAAAGTATAAAACTAACCTCAACCTTATCCTTGTCGGCAGTTATCTAAAATGAAATAATTGGAGAAAAAAAATATTCCAAAATAAATACCAAAATGGAAAATAAAACCAGTAATACCATTATAATGGGATAACGGCGACTATTAAATACCTTACATTATTTCGCTTGGTACAGCTATTCGCCTGTTTTCGTATGAAATTCCTATTATGGGTCAATTTTCATCACCACATATTAAAACTTTTCTGCTCTAAAAAGGATCAATTATCGTGAAATCCTTACATAGATTAGGATCGACAAAGTAGGCCGAGATGATCCAAACTTGGCACAGTTCCTTTTTTTTACGTTAAATTACTATTACGATATAATTTTCATCATGAAGCATTGAAAATTGTACCTTTCTGCCGTACGAAATTTAATTTTTGTTTTATGAGAGGAGGCTCAAGAATAGCCCAAGCCAGTCAAAGTTTTCATACCAATTTCTAAGGGAAAAATATTTAAGCACTTTTGTTAAGAAATTTTGAAAATTGCAACGACTTTTCAGAATAGAGCATGGGAAGAATAGAAAATGGGAAGTGGTCCGAACCATTTTCAAAAGCATTCGTCCTTGAATCAAAACACATCACTGTACCAAATTTTATCAATATATATCAGAAATTGGGACCCGTAACTTGAATACAAATTTCCAAGGGCAGACGGTCAGATGGACAGACGGGCTTAAATCTATTTAGATTACGATTCTGAATTGATCGGTGTTACATACGTCCGCACTAACTTAATATAGCCTGTACCGCAAGTGGTGTAGTTTATAAAAACTTACCACACGATCTCCCGGCACTAAATCACCAAAACCAATGCTGCTTAGAGAAATAAAGCAAAAATAGCTGCCATCTAAATAATCCCAGTCTTCCCAACGGCCAAACAGCAATGCCCCCCACATAATGTAACTGCAAAAAAAAAGAAGAAACGTCAGCTTCATCATACTTCAATATTGGAGAATTTTCTTTTTATAAATTCAAACCTTATCATTATAAATACGCAAACGGTTAGAGGAACCGTAATCTCGTCAGTATTGCCACGAATTTCTTGCTCAATATCTATTTCGTCATCTTCCTCGGCGAACATTGTTAGGACAACATCCTTATTAATTATAGAAGGAGGTGCCGCAGTCTCGGTATTAGCTGTGTTAGCGCTGCTATCACTTTCAGCTGACGTACTACTGCCGCCACTATTGCTACTACTACTCTTACTACTACTACTACTACTACTACTACTACTGCTATCAGCATTTAAAGTACTTTGACGAGCATTTTCTAAATCCGCCAACTGTAAATATTACAAATTTTTATAAATAATTAAAAAAATTTTATTGTTTACTAACACATTTTACTACTTACCGCCCTATTAATGGCGAGTTGTTTTAGTTTCCGTCGCTCTCTTATTAGACGCCTTTTAGCTACACCCGGACAAATGCGACATAAGCACACTTTCGAATAAGTCCATTTAAACGATTTCGCTAAAACGTCGCCAATATTGGAGAGATAGAGTAGAAATAAAGGCATACCGATTATGGCATATAAGATTGTAACCAATTTACCCCAATCGGACCGTGGCGAGATATTACCATATCCTACGGAAATTTCACGAGTATCATTATGTATACCATTCACGTTTATAAGTAAAAAAAAAAAGAAGATTTAATCAATCAAGTCATTCGAAATGTATTAAGCATCATCCTTATCTTAAGACTAGTTTTTTTCCGCATTCGTCAATTCGAGGGATTATTGGTGATTGCAAGCTCAAAAATTCTGCATAAGGAAGTAGATGTTATATGTTTGTTTTTAATGATTTAATGCTGCAAACATATGTGTGTGGACGCACGCCCACTTTTCTATTTCTAGACACGATCTTTTTTTTTTTTACGAAACGAGTCAATTTGATGGGTAAACTTTGTAAAGCCTCCTAGTCGCAAAAATGAAACAGTCGTGACCTGTGCAAAAACAGACTCACGATGTAGTATAAATGCTAAAAGCATCGACAATTCTTTCAAATTTTCAATCTATCAATTTCGTGAAATTGTTTCTAAAAAATCGATTATTAAATGTGTGTCAGAACCATCAGCAAATGTAATTACGATCTTGATCGGTTTATTAGTAAGTGAACAATGAATTAATGAATGTGTGTTAATTTCAACTTATTTCCAATCTATTTTGAAAAGTATATCTGTTCTTGCTCTTAATTATATATATATGTAGATATTTTGAGTTTTATCTTCATTGAGAGGACTGCTTGGACGATTAATTTAAAAGAAGGGTTTATATCATTCGCTATAAAAAAAAAAAAAAAACTAAAGTTATAGTCAACGGAGCCCGAATCTCACCTACCCACCGCTATACTTTTCACATTCTATTCTCCAAGTTCTTGGATTAAGCCATGCGATGCCACGAGCATTTTCCGATATGCGGAGTTCCATTGAAACTATTCCTTTGCACGAAAATAATTTATAATTTTTTGCATTTATTACCAAAGCGACTGTACAAGGCGGATTGGTGATAAGATGTCTAATGATCGATTTTTACCCTGACTATAATGTTCTCACTTGCTTTATTAATATAATGCTGCGATGTATGGATGACTTTAGTCTATCGTAAATGTAATTTGGAATATGTGCAGTCGTTGATGATGTCTTACCTATTGTTGTTATAACTGTTAATGAATAAAGGAATGCACCGGAAAAGCTCCATTGTTTATCAACATCTTGACCGATCAATTGTTTATGTACAATAGTTCTTTGATAATCCAGCAGAATTTCATTTACTCTATAAATGCATGCACATAAATCGAATAATAATTAAAAATAAAAACAATTCATTTATATGATAAAAAAAACTTACCGTCTTTTAAATGAATAACGATCATAAAAGCTTATATTCTCTGCGGTAATTTTCCATAAACGTTCTAAACAATTATTTGTATAATTACCTTCGAATGGATACTTTTGTGGTTTCGTTATCCTAAGTCTTTCATATTCGAATATTTCGATCGCTTGAAAGATAAAAGCGCCTGCAAAAATTGTGCCCAAATTTTATACTTGGATAACATTTTCTTTCTCTTTATTTTGCAAATTCATTTTTCATATCATCACTTACCTCCTATCGTATAAAATATTACTAGCAATATAATGCCGACATTGCTAAAGAGAAATGCGGTAAATAAACGACAATGATCTTTAAATTTTTCAAAAGGCGGCTTCGGTTTCTTACGCAATGAGTTGCGTTTTAAAGTCATATCGCTGCTATCCTCAAGCGATATTCGTATCTTCGGCGATATTTAGTAAATGTCTTGTAAATTTTTATTTTAATATTAAACGAGCTTTTATAAAAAGCTCTAGCGATTATGGATCGTTTAAATAATTCGAATAATCTTTCGTTTTGTGACATGCTTCACGAAATTATAATTAATCATTAATTAATTAACATTTGTCCGTAATCTCACCTTGAAATGGGAAAAAACAAAAAAAAAAAAAAACAAATAAAAACAACAAATATTAATAAATTTTCTATATACATATATGTTTTTTTCATTAGACGCATGTTACATGCTCTATATAAGCATAAAACAAAAAGAATTTACATATGAGCAAGAAAAATTTGTTTGTTTTTATTATCGATTACCGGAGATACGTTTAATTTATTTTCGGTACATATGTTCCACGTGTTCCTGACCTTATTCATTTTCGCATGGAAATTATTAAACCATCTAAGGTCGATATAGATGTGAAATATACGGATCAGTTTTAAGTCTTAGGTGCAGACGATAGCATTGCGATTGAACACCTACCGTAGCTCGTAATAATAACTCGTAATAGCGTCTTGCATGTATTTTGATCATTTTCTCACTTGGAAAACGCATTTCTTGACCAAAAATTGCTGCAATATATATATATGTATATATATAAATTAAAATATTTTCCACCATTTTCTACAAGTTTTTCCCATCGACATCGGGCGGCATGGCGACATCGTGTCAAAAAAAAAAACTATATTGGCTTGGCAGCGATCATCGACCAATCATCGACTCATTTTCGTACTTGTGTAGCATATCAAAAACCATGTGCCAGCCAAGCCATGCTGCATCGATCTGCATAAGTGGTAATTAGGAAGCGCTATGTCCGATGACTACAGCAGCAACAGTGTATTGTTGACAACGTATGGCCGAGCGTTGTCATGCCAGGCGATGACTTCGTCTTTGTTAACCGCATATCGTTCGATTTATTTAAAAGAGGTCGGTAAACATCTGCATTAACAGTTCCATTCGGTTTTAGAAACTTGTAATACACTAAACCTTGCTGATCCCAGCATATACACAGCAAAATTTGTTGGCTATGAATATTTTGCTTCGTCGTCGATGTGGATGGCTCTCCTGGACAAGTCTTGCAACTCATTGTCTTCAAATTTTTTTAATCCTCCAGGCCTCCAGGCCTCTAGGTTTTTCGTCATTGATATCAAAATCAAGGCATTTAAACCGTTGAAAGCCAAACCGACAATCGGAATATGATAGGGCAACACCACCTTAAGCTTCTAAATTTAATTGAACTTGATAATCAATGTTGAAAGTGTATTCGCTCAGCGTTTGCGTACACCGAATAACTCAATAATAGTAAATAGAAAACTGTTTTATATGAAGAAAGGTCCATATCCTCGATTTTAACCGTTGTGTACACTTCACCAATCATTTTCACCAATTTGATCACAATACTTTAACTGATCAAAACACATACAAGCATTTAATAAACAAAGTATATCTAGTGATGGCTCGAGTATGCTATAGCAAAAAGCTCCAACAGTCAAACAAGGACCAGGGTTGCTTAACAAAAGTCAAAGTAATAACGGCAACAGTCAGTGATCAACGATCGTCGATTCCATGCGTATTGAAGATACACTCGTTAGAGGTGGTAACAATGATTCTCAAAAATAAACCAAAATTGTGTGATAATGAGGTCTTCTGCAAATTCGTAATCTTTGTTGAGCCCCATTAAAAAAAAAATTAGGCAGCGTGTGAGATTTTCTTCGGCCCTTCACTTTTATTGTTATTTCAAGAATTTCAACCTAAGCGTTCCTATGATACCAAAAAGTTCAGTTCAGGCCAAGATAAACTGCTTTTTCATACGGCGACGCGACTTAGTGGCCCATCGCTAAATATCCTACATTACCCTACAGTTATTCGTATAACGACTCTTCAAAATAATATGTTGTAAGGCAAGTGATCGGGGGCAAGTGAAGAGGGTTCGAACCGAACCATTTTCAACACCGTTTATTCTGGGGTCAAACCACTTCGGCGCAACAATGTTTCTCAAACATTGCGGTCAGTGGGTCGAATACAAGAAAAGAAAACAAGCTTGGATCGATTCAGAAAAGTAAATCGATTTCAAGTCCTTCTCAGTGTTGCATACGTCCGTCCAAGTTTCACAGAAAGATTTGGAATTGTATAAAGGGCATCCCGATAAAGGGCAACCCGAAACTTGCCAGTAATGTGCTAGCTAATATATTGGATCCGATCTGTTGCACCACAGACGCCAAAAGTGATTTTATCTCTACAACAGGTCTTAAGAGCGGCTTCAACGAGCAGATGATCGAGCGACAACCGATCGAATTGAATTTCGATATTCTCTGGATAGACTTGATGTAAAGCTTCAAATGTGAACAGTATGGACAGTATGGGAAAAAATTGATTAACTAGCGCATCCAACACTCACAAGGACCCACAGAAATCATAGCTAAAACGGAAAAGTGACCAAGATATGGAAATTGAGAACATGACTCTAAAAGAGTTCACCTCATCTCACTCATCAAGCTACCGGGATACCATGTTTGCGTGGTAACGCAAATATAAAAATGACTTTGATTCCATAAGTAAAATAGCGCCGTAAAGATTTTCAGCATAATGCAAAAATGGTTCTTATGGTACAAGTTGCTAAGGATGCATGCTTTCAGTATCGTCCCAGCTTCAGAAATCAACTGTTAGGTCTGTAAAGTAGTAGTGAAGGACAAGCGGCAACCTATCAAACTTGATGGAATATTTTTTAATTCAAAAAAATGTTCACCTTATGAAGGCCAAGTAAGTTCAACATATCGAGGAGAAGAGTTTTCTAAAATTGTTTTTCTAAACAGTTTTCGCATAATTGCTGCTTGCGTACAGTGAGAAAAGTTTGTTTTCTTAAATTAATGCGTTTTGTTGTTATGTGGTATGTATTACTGAAAGAAAAGCATTATTGTTGTTATACCCTACACGAATTGTGGTGTAGGGTATATTGAGTTAGTGCGGACGTATGTAACACGCAAAGGGCTTAAGATAGACCCAACTTTTATTAAACCGATCGATTCAGAATCGTAATCTAAATTGATCTAAGCCCTTCTGCCCATCTGACCGTCGGCTCTTGTTAATTTGTGTTCAACTATTTTGATGAAATTTGGTGTAGTGACATATTTTGACCCAAGGGCGAACGCTATTGAGAATGGTTCGGACCGGTTCAATTTTTTCGCTCACTTCCCACATAACGCCCCGTTCTGAAAATTCGTCGGATGGAAAAAAAAATTGTAATTTTTAAAATTTCTCGGCAAAAGCGGCCGAGTGGTTTTATATGGGTATTCTAGATTGGTACGAAAACTTTGGGCCGGCTGGGGCAATTCTTGAACCTCCTCTCATATAGCGAAAATTGAAAAAAATTATATCATAATAGTAATTTAAAATAAAAAAAGTAACTGTACCAAATTTGGACCAGTCCGGCCTATTTTTTGGATTCTATCCTATATAAGAATTTTCTAAAAAATTGATCCTTTATAGAGGGGAAAAGTCTAAATTTTAATATGTTATGATGAAAACTAACACAACCACAAAAGTAATTTGAAATAAGAAATTGTATAAAAAGCAACTACATTTTTTAAACTCTTGGACACGACCATTCCAACGGAACGCAAGATTTGATTTGCAAAGAGGTCTACTTTTTCATAAACAGTCCCATAATAGTATGTTCCTATAAAAACCGGATATAATTTTTGTGTTCTATGGCAAAAATCAGAATTGTGTTAGAGAACGTAGCGTAGGGTAATAAATACCGTCCTAGCTCGACTATAAAGTTTTCATTTGTTTATATATATATATATATATATATATACATTTTTTTTTTTTTTGTTTAAGAATTTCAAATACTTTTCACACCACATATATAAAACGTCTACTTACACATATTTTATTGCCGGCATTCTTTGGTTTTTATGTACCTTAGTGGTTTGTAAAAAAAAAAAAACCACAAAGAAAGATTCCGAATTTTAAGCTAACCTGGTCATGTCTCTCATGTGTTATATTTATAAGTGCTTGTGCTGCCCAACTAATATTAAAACTCATTGCCACTGTTTACACTGACTATATGTCGTATATGAAGCATATGGGACGTACACTACGTCTTCTGCCTACAGCATACGTGCGTGTATGTGCTTTACTGTATATAGTGTATAGCATAGTAGATATACTGAACCTAGTATATGCTACATATTCGACAAGTTACTTTGTCAGTGACTACTAATGTGGCAGTGGGACACCACTGTAACAACTTAAAACAACTTTTTAATAGCAATTTTTTCTTGGGATGAAAGGAAGCGTAAAAGAATAATAATAGCTGAAGAGATTATTGAGCATTTATTTAAATACTAACAAGTAAGACAATTATATTCGGTTGCGACCCAGTCTTTTATACCTATAACAGTTATCCTATTTTTGCAGAATAATTTTGTGGAAATTTATATCGTGTATCTGTTGTAGTCAGTTTATGAGCAACGAGCAAGAAACAGGGAAAGCAAACGTATTCTCAGTGTTGGTGGTGAAGACGTGTGGGCGTTGTAAGCAAGTTCTTTGACCTATATGGGTCATTTTCAAAGTCTTTTGTAAATATGTAGCCGACATCTTCTTTTTTGGGAATGGGATAATGATTACCACAGATACTGAAAAGTTACGCAGACGGATCGATGAGCGGACGGACTTGCTTAGGTACATTCCAAATTTTAGACTGGTCAAGCATTCATATACCTTATGAGGGTTTTGAAGCTTGTTTCCGCTTCAGGTGCTAAAAAAAAGTGCATTTTGTTACTCTATAATGTTAGGTAGGCTTGGACAATTTTGTCTATTTTTGTAGAGGTTGTACAGCATCGCACATAGAACATAGCCCTTCAGTTTTTATGGATACACAAGCCGCATTTTGTAAACAATGAGAACAACATCAATATTTTCTTCCTTTTGAAAAACAGAAATTTCTCATCTTACGTGGAGGTGTCCTTCGACAGATTTGTTCCATTTTCAATACCAAACTACGTGCAAGAACTTCAAGTATTTCTACCAAACTTAAAGTCGATAGCTTCAGTCTTGCGGCCAAGAGAACTTCTACAACAAGCACTCCACAGACGGACATACAGACATGCTTAAATTGATTCAGAATTTGATGC